TAATCTCACAGGTTATAATAATTTCCTTGATCCCATTAATAAACTCAATTAATTAAAATTATGTGAACATTTGAAACATTATTTGTAAATTCAATAATTCCTTTTTCTATGCTATGGTCTAGCACATGAGACCCAGACTGAGTTTAATAGTGTTCTGCCGATGAAAAAACTTTTAAGTGTCCTGATTTTCTGACAAAGCCTTTCAAACCCATTTTTTTCCTTTGTTGCTTGCTTGTTTTGTGTGATTTTAAAATTGTATTTACATATACAGGATCTCCTGTGGTCAAGGCTAATCTCAGTTTGCTATGTTGCTAAGGATGACCTTGAACCTTCGAGCCTCCTGCATCCACTTCTGGAGTGCACTATCAGTTCTTTCATGCTGAGAATCCAGCCTAAGGGTTTTGTGCACATTAGTGAAGCACTCCATAAGCTCTATCCTCACCTGTAATTACTGTAAATATAAAAAGCACTTGTACTGAGTCATGAGGCTTTTTCCCTAAACAGACTATCTTTGCTTCACACTTTAAACCACGCCCCATCTCTCTTCAGCAAGAAAAAAAAAAAAAAAGTGAAGTGGGGCACATTTGTTTTGAAAGTTGCTGGTGAGACAGCTAAACAGCTAAGAGCACATACTGACTGCTCTTGCAGAGAACCCAAGTGTGGTTCTCAGCACCCAGATGGAATGATTCCTAACCCAGTCCTCCAGCTCCAAGGCTCCAATTCCCTCTCCTGGTCTCCTAAGGTACATGCACTTGTACATATCCATGTTGTCTGATATTTTGTTTTTGTTCTGACAAATAAAGATTGCCTGGAGATCAGAGGGTGAAACTAGTCACCCATTAACCACAGAAGCTGGGAGGTGGTTGCTCATGCCTTTAATCCAAGACTCGAGAGTTGGAGACAGGAAGTGATAAGGATGGGGTGGAGAGAGGATCTCAGCCTTTTGGGGATGGAGGAAGGAGACAGGTAAGAAGCAACTGGAAGCTGCTCCAAGTTCTCTGATCTTTCAGATCTCCCCCCACAGTATTTGACTCCTGATTCTTTATTAATATTAATTAGATTAACACTTCATACACCACCCCCCCCCAGAGACATATATATATTTTTTTCTTTTTTGAGACAGGGTTTCTCTGTGTCACTGCCCTGGCTGTCCTGGAACTCACTCTGTAGACCAGGTTGGCCTCAAATTTACAGAGATCCACCTGCCTCTGCTTCCCGAGTGGGATTAAAGATGTGCACCACCACCACCTAGCTACCTAATTTAAAAGAAAGTAAATCTAGCCAGGCGTTGGTGGTGCATACCTTTAATCCCAGCACTCTGAAGGCAGAGGCAGGCGGATCTCTGTGAGTTCGAGGCCAGTCTGGTCTCCAGAGCGAGTGCTAGGATAGGCTCCAAAGCTACACAGAGAAACCCTGTCTTGAAACACCCCATCCCCCCAAAAAGTAAACATTAAAAACAAAACAAAACAAAAAAAAACCAAGAAATGTTTCTTTTGGAGCCAAGACACCATATACTTCTGTGCACTTGTAAGAACATTTTAGGTCTGGAGGCCTTTTATTTTTCTACATTTATTAAGCCATGAATTAATTCTCAGGGGCTGTGATCCAGCAGCTCAGGTTCTTTGTGTTTCCACAAAGTGGGTTTCTTGGGTGAAATGGATTGGCCAGGCAGCTGAACAGGTTCCTTTCTATTCAGTGTCCTTTATCTAATCATTTCCTTCACCCACTTTAGAGCTCTAGAATGCTTAAGACACTCAATAGACACACCAATTCTCTCAGCAAATATTTGTTGTCTGCAACAATGTCAACAGGCAACACTGTAGACTCACCCAGTTTTGTAATGGTGACATTTTGGAGCCATTCTTTTTTGAACAGGACCCATTCCAATGTTTTCTAAAGGTCCTAGAGACCATGTATCAGTTGTCCTTTTGTGTTTGTTAATTTGTTGAATCACTAAAGATAGGTTTTGGCCAAAAGGGAATGATGTTGGTTATTTATTTACTTCTTTTGTGTGTGGAGGATGAATTCAGGGCCAAGCTAGGCAAGTGCTCTTCTACTGAGCTCTGTTCAGAGCCTTCAGTAAGTCTTTTAAATGTGTTAACAAATTTAAGGTTACAACTTAAAAATCACAAGTCTAAATTATTTAAATACATATTTATCACTGAAACACAAGTATAACCTGTTAATGGTCAGGCTTGGTGTCACAATCCTTTAATCCCAACACTCTCAAAGTAGAGGCAAGTAGATCTCTGGTTTCTAGGTCAGCCAGAGCCACATGGTTTAACTGTCAAATAAATAATATTTGTGTGTGTTTGTGTGTAGAAAAGGGTCAGCAGTTTTAGAGTACTTACCTGTTGCTTTTGCAGAGGATTCAATTCCCAGCGTCTACATGTGGCTCCTAACTGTCTAACACCAGTTCCAGAGGATCTGCTGCTCTCTTCTGGACTCCAGGTATGCATGTGGTTCACATACATACATGCAAGCAAAATATTCATGCTCAAAATACTTATTACATATATTTATTTAGTGGGGAGGAGCACAGGAATGCCATAAAGAGTGTGTGGAGGCCAGAGGACAACTTTTGGGAGTTGCTTCTCTCCTTCCATAACATGAGTCCTGGGAATCAAATCCAACTCAAGTGCCCACCGAGCCATTCCTCCGCCTGCTTTACTTAAATTTGGAGACATGTTGGCCTTGAACTAATCATTTTCTTAACTTAAGATGACTTTGAACTTCTGATCTTCCTGAGTGCTGGAGTTACAAGCATTGCTACCATGCCCAGTTTAAGGGGTGCTAGGACTTAAAACTCAGGATTACCTACATGCATGCTAGGCAAGAACAGTACCAACTGAGCTACATCTCTAGCCCTAAAACCTTACAAAACTTCCTAAGAATCTAAAGTATTTCATTTATGTAGGTTCCATAATGCAAGGACATTAACATCCAAGGGCTGGAGATGTAGCTCAGTGCTAAAGCATATGAAGGCCCTAGATTTGAGTATCCCTACTGCAAAGAAATACTAACACTGGGAGTTCAGCACAACTTATCTTATTCTAAATCACCACCAAGGATAAAAGATGCTTTGTACTTACAGAGAATTAAGTCATCCCACTTGGAAATTCAGAGAATGAGATCATCCCGCTTGGGAATAACCTGTTCAGGCAATTTGGGTCATAGTATTTATGACTGTGCTGGTCAGTGAGCCAGCTGATCCTGGATTCCTGCCTTCAGTGGTGATGAGTGATTCCTCCCTCTAGTACTCTAACTGGAAGGTCTAACTTTGTGGTCATTTTGAGGTTAAAGCCAGTTCTCCACCACTGTAAAACAAGAAAATGTCTAGGAGTAGCTGTTCACAGTGACTGGCTGTTGCATAGCTATTTCCTCCAAAGTGGAACATTCCCTCCTGGAGGCAGGATTCTTAAGATTCAGGAAGGAGGGTTGAGGATGATGGTTCAGTGGGTAAAAGCACTTGCCATCATGTACTAAACTAAAAGAAATGCATCTCACCAATTTAAATGTGCTCCACCTAGTGGCATCTATGTATAAACTTCTTTAACGTTTTATAGTTTTTTCCTTTGTGGTATTTGCCTGCATGCATGCTTATATGTACCACATGTATACAGGAGTCTTCACACGCCAGAATAGGGTCTCTGATGCCATCGAACTGGAGGTTGTGACCTGCCACATGGGTGCTGGGAACTAACCCGGTCCTCTGCAGGAGCAGTAAATGTGCTCTTAATCACTGAGCCATCTTTTCAACCCCTAGTATGTATTTATTGAGACGGCCTTATTTTGTATCCCTGTCTCGCCTGTCCCTGCCTCCCAATTGCTGGAGTTAAAGGGATGTGCCACCACATCTGGCTTGCTAACTGTGTATAGGGTGAGTGGACACATGCATATAGAGGTCAGATGACAATTTGTAAAGTTGGTTCACTGCTCCCTCCATGTGGATCCAGGGGATAAACTTTGGCTACTAGCCTTGCACATTAAAGACTGGACAATCTCAATGCCCCCATTTTTTCTTTTTTTAAACTTATTGAAACTGATAATTCTATTTATTTGTGGGTATGCATGTCAGACAGTGGGTGGAACTGGTTCTCTTTCCACCCTGAGCCTTGGGAAAGGGACTCAATTTTGTTAACAGCTGTGCCTTTACCTGTCTCCAGGTAAACCTTGAGTCCTTTGAGTTACACTCCCAACCAGTTTCTACGTCTTTGATCTTGCATGTTGATTTTTAATTCCTTGATCATATCACCCCTTGTTAGTTACCGCTTCAGCAGGTGACATCATAGTGTAACTGTGGAAGGCTGCTTCTCAGAAGTGCGCTACTTCATTGTCTAAAAAGTGCAAGTGTAAGTTTGGTATCTCAGCCGGGTGGTGGCAGCGCACGCCTTTAATCCCAGCACTCAGGAGGCAGAGGCAGGGGGATCTCTGTGAGTTCAAGACAAGTCTGGTCTATAAGAGCTAGTTCCCGACGGCCTCCAAAGCCACAGAGAAACCCTGCCTCGGGGGTGGGGAGTGGGGTGGAGGAGTTTGGTTTCTCACATAGGACAGCAGAAACTCAAAGAAATGTGTTTTTAGGTATGGAATTAGGCATGCCTTTGCTTCTGCTAGGTTTTTAGTGCAGGAGTTGAATTGGGCCAGGTCAGTTCATGGTTTCGGAGGTCAAATTCCATGCACAAGCTTCAAATTCTTCTGATATTAGTGACTTAGAGTGCAGTAATTTTTGTCTTGCTGTGCTTGTCTTCTGTTGGCATTTTCCTTACGGGCTTTCTATGCCCTTGTCCCCAGTATTGCTATTAGCACATACCATTCAATGCTCATTTGTAGAGCACTGTCCTGAGGCCACCTCTCTGTAGCTGGAATTTTGGACCCAGTATGCATTTCTGTCCCTACTGAGGGGTGGCTTTGTTTTCTTCCAGTTGAGTAGTTGGTACTCTACCTTCCAATTTTGAGCTGTTGTGTGGTAGGAGACAAAGGATAGTGACCTTCTCTCTCACATTAGCTGCGGCTCCCATCTAACAGACTTTAAGGAGACACACTGCTTTTGGTGTGATTGTAGTGAAAACATCAACAGAGGGATAACCCTTGCAAGGCCAGGGACCAATTTCAGCTGTATTCACATCAGCAGTCAATCACTGGCTATCTCTGCTTCTGTATAATGCTTGTCTCTCTCTACCTTTGACTCTGCTCTCCATAAGACTTCTCTTCATATGCCTACCTGTCATTCACAAATCCCAGAAAAGAAAGCTGGTCATCCACCGCCCCCTCAAGTGGGGCACTGTCTACAAGAAGGGGGATATATTGGGAGATAGTAGAAATGGCCTGCAATTGGGAAACTTTGATAAGCTTTGAAGCAAGAATCAAAAGACATGTTTCTGAATGAGTTCTTTGACTGGAAAATTTAGGAAAAATCTGGAATTGAGAGAATGGCATAAAAGAGTGTTAGTGTGATAACTGAGGTATCAGGATGGTGGCCTGCCTGCACAAGAAATTTGGCAGTTGAAATGGTGGAAAACAATGTATTCAAAATAAATATCCATTTATTAAAATTTAATATATGTTTAAACCAGAGCAATACCTGTTACAAGTACATAGTTCTACTATGTTAACAATAAAAATATCAAAACAACATGCATAGAGAACTAATTGTTGATTTTTCAATTTTAGTTATTATTTGCTTCTCATAAAAAGTGTTGAGTGCTTCTAAATTGCTTATCCTGTTACAGATGCTAATACACCCACACTTCCATCACTACTTCTTTACTGTGACATTCTAATTTTGGTCAGACCAGTCTTCACAGTCCCATAACGGCTGCAAATTCTCCTCACAGCTGACCCGGTGATGGATTTATGTTAACCTCTCCCCATTCTCTTAAGAGTTGGTTCATTTTTGGATTTCTTTTGGTTTTCCCATTTTATTTTTAAAACCTTTAAACATATGAACCCCTTACAATTTCCCCAATCATAATGTACTGCTTAACTAATAATTACAAAGTGAGAACACCTGTAAACACTTTCCCCAAACACAACACTCCTAGACTGCAGAAGCTCTCTGTGCAGGAGGACTTCATGTTGCTCTGGTCAGGAAGCCTCAAACTTGGAACTGATTTCAATTGTTGGAAAACAAGAATTATGTCAGGTGTGGAGGCTCACACTTGTAATCCTTGCACTTAGTAGGCCGATGCAGGATTGCTGCAAGGGCTAAAACCCTGTCAAAAAACAAACACACAAGGCTGGAGATGTTGCAATAGTCAAAGAGCTCTCATACTGCTCTTCTAGAGGTCCTGAGTTTATTTTTAGTACCCACATTGGGTGGCTCACAACCCCCTGCAGCACCAGCTCAAGAGGACCCAATGCCTCTGTAGGCACCCACGTTTATGTGCACATACCCACACATAATTAAAAACAAACATTTTTTTTTTAAACAAAAAGCACAAGGAGTTCTCTTGTGCTATATAAATACATATATAATGGTCCTCTGTGACTGTGAGTTTTATACCCACTCAACCAAGAATTGAAAATCTCCTGAAAGAAAAGTATTAGTTCTGATTGAACATGGACAACTTTTGTCATTTCCCCTAAATAAGAGTACAGTAACTATGCACATAACATTTACATTGTATTCAGACATTATACACAGGTGATTTACAAGTATGTGGGAAATGTATGAGATTAACTACAGGCCATTTTACAGAAGGAACTCAAGGTTAGGTAGATTCTGGTGTGTGTAGGGGGTTCTAGAACCAATCCTTCATGGATACAAAGGGATTACTATAGGTGGAACTTACGTATGATTTAGGGTACTTCAAACGTTTAAAATTACCCACAATGCTCACTCCTCAATGATCAGTGGTTAAACAGCCTTCAGTTTCTGTTGGTCTTAATTCTTCACTGTCTTATAAAACTATGTATCATTTCCTTTGCCATATTACTTCCAACAGTACTCTAAACATGAGGTGTATGTCCTTGTCTCACCGATGATGGGCTTGACGACTTGTGGCCAACAAGGTGGCACATACCTGTGTGACTTCATCTGGCCTCTGTGCTTCGGCAGTCCACCATGGATAACATGTCCGGGCAGCTACTTTCAGCATGTGACTCAGAAGGAACCACCTGGAACAAATGTGAATCTGATCCAAATGGCGATGCCCAATCCAGCAGAGGCTAAACCTGAAGCACAGCTGCTTGGCTGTACCTAGTCTAGACCAATTGTCCTGCAAATCTATGTGGATGGAAGACTAAAGCAGAGCAAAAACAAAAGAAAGAAGGTTCGATATGACAATTCAGAAAGGGGCTCAGGGACGCCTTGAAAGCAAAGCTGTATACGCCGATTAGGAAACAGAAGCCAGGAAGGAATACTTCTGATCCTTACAGTTCAGGGCCTTTTTCCAGTAGGGTTTCCTGTGCTACTGTAACCCCATTTTCCAGAGGCAATTATAGTTAATACCTTGTTTTCTCCAGATGTTTCCCTAGAGGCAGCCGCTACAAGCATAAGGGACTGTTTCAGTTTCTATCTCTTTCTCTGCCAACACTAGCTCCTATCCTCTGAGGCTCATTTGTATCTAGTTTTCAATATGTACTTATTCTTCAGTGTAAATTCTAACTTCCTTTGAAAAGTGGCCTTCTATTTTAAAGAAAATTGTGGTATCTATGCATTTGGAGTAATAAGTGAGCACCTACACAAATTAGTTCCTTCTACGATGTTGACTGGAAATCCTTAATTTTCATATGTAATTAATCAATTGATAACTTTTATTACAGTGCTAGAGAGACAACCATGATAAACTTCAATACTGAGCTATAACCCCCAGTATTTTCTAGGAAATTAAAAAACAGACCAGCTGGAATTATTCCACATATATAACCTTGATTCTCAATTTCCTATTTTGATATGTTTATACAGCTTAAATCTCATCTCTGTTTAGGATAGGCCCAGGCTCACGAACACCAACACATTTGTTGAATGACATCTCCTATAGAAATAAACTCAGGCCCAGCACACACGTGTAAATTCAGCACTGGGAAGTTGAGAAAAGATTACAGGCAAGTTCAAGGTCTGCGTGAGAAGCATATTAAGTTCCAGGCCAACCTGAGCTTAGTGTGAGGCTTATCTCAAAAAATAAGCAAAAATAAATGTTTTAAATTATATAAAGTTTGGGAAGACAGTCAAAGCAGGAGAGAAAGATGAACCCCTGCTGGGGAGCAGGGAAAGGCATGTGCATGAATATACAGAATGGGATGTGAAGAGCAAGGCAAGGGGATTAATACCAGCATTAATGTGAATATATGTTGCTATGATTGATTTCATAAAGAAGCTGACTGGCCAACAGCTGGACGGGATAAAATTAGGCAGGAGAACTAGACTAAGGACACTGGAAAGAAGGGTGGACTCAGGGATCACCAGCCAGACATGGAAAGGAAACAGGAGGTTCAAGATGAAAGAGAGCTAACGCCATGAAGCAGAATGTAGATTGATATAAACGAGTTAATTTAAAATGTAAGACTTAGCTAGTAACAAGCCTGAGCTATTGGCTGAACATTTACAATTAATACTAAGTCTCTGTGTTGGTTATTTGGGAACTGGCAGACAGAAAGAAAAGTCCATCTACAAGTACCTGGGAGGTAGAAGCAGGAAGATCATGAGTTCAAAGACACCCCAGCTACATAAGAGTATGTAGGCCAACCAGGACTGACTACATGAGACACCATTAGGCCTTTTCATGAGAAGTTTAACACCCACTTTCCAGGTTTCTGCTACAAGTATTTTATGTATGGCTGAGAATCAGAGCGGTTTAGGAAGCTACTATGGTTCCCTTCTCACCTTCTTTTCCTTAGAAGAGCCAAGACAATTCTGGTCAAAGTTAAGGAAGCAAAAATGCTGCTGGCTGAGAAATCCTCAATCCCTGCAGTTACTCCTGTAAGAAATGGACTAGCCATTCTGGAAGAGCCTATGTGGAGGGCCCAGGGCAGGGTTAGTTCATGGTGGTCAAAAAGAATGCTACTATGGCTAGAGGGACAGAATGCCAAGGGGAAGAGTGGGAGGAACAGCAAAAGATGGCACTAGGCTTTGGGAAAATCAGAAAGCTGTAACTGATCAGAAAAAGTAACGGATACTTTTCCTTTTCTAGTGAAGATGTTGCTTCTACCTTCTGAAAACTCAGTTTTTCAGATGCACAGACCTACAGCCTTCCCACAGATGCCTTGTTGTACATAAATGCACAACTACAGTAAAGAAGCCACCATATGCTTTAAGACTACTACAGCCGAAAGCTTTGGTTCACACTTAACATCTAATCTGAACATATAAGGTATTTTTACTTCTGACTTCTAGATGAAGAAAGTATTGGGACGTCTAAGACAGGAAGTGGTTATGACCAGGGAGGATAAACAGGGGCCCCATTCCCATGTGTAATGAAGACTCAACTTGGGTGGCTGCCCTTCTCTGGATCTTTACAGCTTTCTTTACACCTTAGTACGCATTGGTAATGTCTAACAATAATAAATTACTTGCGAAGATTCAGAGAGATTAAATAACTTATCCCCAACTCACAGAGCCAGAGAGAACTCTGTTTAAATTGCACCTGCAATTCTGCTAGGTCGCTTCTTGGAAGTGGTTAAATTTATCACAGCATCATAGAAAGGCTAAAAAGTCTACAATATTTGTTTACATTAAGATGGGCTCCAGAACACCTGGTGATACACTCTATGTACCCATCTTATTTGGAGAACAGTTTGCATTTTATATTATTATATACAGATGTTAAAAAAAGAATATCAGCTGGAAATCCTAGCACTCAGGCAGAAGGTAGAACTGTTCAAGGCCAGCCCGATCAACATAACAGTTCCAGACAGACAGAAGTAGAGACCCTGCCTCAAAAAACCAAAACCAAATTTCTGTGTTTAAATCTTTTGCTTAGTCTCATCTACACATTCACTAGTACTCATTAAATAAACATTTTCTTATTGTACTGATTCAATCTGGCCAGTGGCTTATAACTATAAACCCGTGGACAAGGTCGTCATGATATTTCCATGTTTTTGCATGTGTGGAGGGGAGGGAGGATGGTAATGGGAGCACGGAACCAATCATTTAGTAAGCACTATGTTATTCCATTCAGCCCTCTTCAATCCTGAGACAATGGCCTACATTTTAGAAAAAGGGTTTTAGTAAGACAAACAAGGTCGCCAGGGAGCTGACGTGTATGTGGGAAGGACAATTATATCAAGAAAATAATACAAAGAAGGTTCAAATGGCAAGAGAAAGAAAGGCAACAGTAGAAGCAAGGGGAAGAAACATTACATGGGTGGGACATGAGGATCCAAGTTTTAAGACCCGATTTCTGAGGAAGAAGTGTCATCCCAAATCTTATGGTTAATTTAACTTTTTCCTCAACCTAGAAATGGTTCTAGGCTGGGTGTTGTGGTGCACGCCTTTAATATCAGTACTCAGAACACAGAGGTAGGCAGATCTCTGAGTTCAAGGCCCCCTTGGTCTATAAAGTGAGTTTCAGGACAGCCAGGACTGTAACACAGAGAAACCCTGTCTTGAAAAAACAAAGAGAGAAATGGTTCTAGAAGTCAGACAGCCTCTAGCACACAGCATCCACAACCAGGACATTCCTTAGAACTACAACACTAAGGAGAAACATAGCAGCAGGAAGGTAGGCAAGGGCCTGTAACCACCTTCTGTGGGGGAGGGGGGGATTTGTACAGAGTGACAAGCAAACTACATTTTTCAGGATCTGCTCAAATGATCAATTCTAATTATATTACATGATAGTTTCTTATATATAAACCTAGCTTATCAATCCAAAACAGTCTCAACTCCAAGAAGTTGGAGCTGTAAAATCCTGTATAGTGGACATTTAAGGCAAAGGAGAAGAAATTTGGGATACCAGCATTCTCTAGTTCTTACAACTGTGATTAAAGTGAGAAGCAAATGGGTTCTGCTCTGTTTGTGAGAACTTTGACTCAACTGGTACTGATAGGTCAGTTACCTGTTTCACACGTTACCAGCCCTTTATGGCAGCTTGTGTTTGTTTAAGCTGACTAGTATGCTCGCACCACAAGTTCACCAGCACTCGAGCACACGCACATACGCGCACACACACACAGAGCCTAGGTCTCTAAGTGCAAACAGGCCCCCATACCTGGGCTACCTTCAAGGCTGACTGTCCACAGGGATTATAACACAATTCATCAATATTGTTCCCCCTGAAACAAGTTTCCACAGGCCTTTTTAAATTAAGTACCACTTAAAGTTCAATAAATAAATAAATAAATAAATAAATAAATAAATAAATAAATAAAAGGTGGCACTCGCCCTTAATCCCAGCACACTTGGGAGGCAGAGGCCAGCCTGGTCTCCAGAGCGAGTGCCAGGACAGTCTCCAAAGCTACACAGAGAAACCCTGTCTCGAAAAACCAAAAAAAAAACAAAAAAAAAAACAAAAAACAAAAAAAAAAAAACAACAGTGTTAGAAATGAGCAAGGCCTCAGACAACTCATGTAGTTTCTCCTTCCTTAAAACACATAGAGGTCCTGAAGAGGGAAGGGCCTCTTCCAAATTGAACTGCGAACTGCTGACAAGAACACCAAGGACTAACCAGAGAATAAGGTAAGTGCCAGACACCTGACATAAATACATTCTCACTGCATCCCCAAGAATAGTGGCCCTGTCTAACAGAAGTTATTTGATGTGCCTAGTAATTACATGTGTAACAGGGACATGAATGAAATAGAACCATTATGCTCCCTTCCACTGTATTTAAATGCCAAAACTCTCAAGTCTTGAGAGTTCTTCCACCAATATCAATTTCTCCCACCTAACCTCTCCACCAACCCAGTATTAAGTTCAAAACACATGAAAACTAAGCCATCCTTTATTACACACGGTGTCGGTTGGAGAAGTATATTGCTCAGGCTGCAGGGACATTTCATTTATTTAAATGTTTTTATTAAAAAAAAATTAAAGACCTTCATGGCACAACTTCTTCCCAGCACAGTTATGTCTTAGTCATACCAATTACAATACAATTACAACCAATAAATCAAAGAGAAGGAATTCTGATTTTAAAGGGGGGAAGGGGACACTTCAAAACAAAGCCAAAAACTTTCAGAGTAACTGCCAACACAGCCCTTTCATGTTGGCATCCATTTCCCACCATCTAAGCAATGCAGACACAGGAAGTGCTGAGAAATAGTGTCCCAATACAAGGTGTACAGATGAGGTAATTTACAACACAGAAGTTGTTACTCTGTAAACCCTGACCCTCCCTACCCCCTCCCCCATTCAGGTCTTTTAAAACTCTCCACATTTCTGCAGTGACTCCCTGTTTCTTTTAAATTTCTACTTATTTTAAAAGGCTCTCAGAGTCCTCTGCATTCACTATCAGCTCTTGTACCAGGTGTGATGAGTGAGGAGGCCCAGCCATCTGCAGCTATCCACACCAGCCTCAGACACACCTGGACTTCTGAGCTGTAAGTAGGGTAGGGAGTCCTGATCTACAACCTTCCTTTCCACCTCAAAAGAAAGAATTCATCCATCTAAGTGTCTTGTTCAAATCACGATCCAGTGCAAACATAATCATAAACTGCATCTCTAGCACACCTGGTGCTTTCGGCTCTGCACAAACCCATCATGGTAACCCTCACAGCACACTAGGGCATACAAGAATCAAGTACAATAAATAGTCACTGCAAGTGGCCAAAAATAAGAAAAATCACTCTGCAGTCAGAAAGTTTTCGTTTTAGCTGTCCCTATGGTTGAGAAAGGTTAAGAAAGGCATTAGCGTCCTCTACTTTATCATTACATTCGCTAAAGCCACCACCTTGATAAAGTTACTAAAGCCAAGATGGGTTACAAAGTTAGGTAAGTTAATTAAATTCAACTCCCCAAACAATTATGTTTTATCTATGATGCCATGTGAGAAAGGCTTATGAATCTATAAAGATAGGAGAATGGGGAACTAAGACTTTAGGCCCTAAAATATGTTGGAAGATTTTTTTCCTAGTCCCCACAGGCAGCTACTGTAATGAAACAAGAGGAGAAAATACAGAGCTGATGGTTTGCTATTGTGCTTAAAAAACTAGGCTTCCTCAGTGAAGCACCTGATAAACTTAGGTGGCTGGATTACAGTGGAAAGTCCACTTTAAACACACACACAAACACACAAACTGGCGACTTATCCTATCCCCAATCCCTGCAATGCTGAGACACAGAATGAGTTTTATGGCAAAGGATCCTTAATCCCCAGAGACGCTTTGGCTTGTGGTGCTTTTTTTTTTTTTAAGGCCTCTCTGCCCTGCCCTGCCCAGTACCATGGGTCGAACGAGGGGAGTATAAAAATGAGGGCCTTGGGAAGTCTCCATGGTATGGGCTGTAGTCCCCTCAGGTTTGAATGTGAGACACCCACCCAGCGAGAACTTTACACAGGGAACTTAAATCTAACCTTGATAAATAAAACCAAACGTTTATTTACACCAAAGAATTCCAACACTGGATCTTTCACATATGAAGGACAAAGTATTATATATATACACACAGCAAGGGATGGCAGGGCCATAACAAGAGAACTGATAGTTTCCCACAATTACAGGTCTACCATTTCTGGTTCACTGCAGACAGTGGCTCTGCTCCTGCCTCTCAGACACAATTACAACTCTGAGAGCAGGTCTCCTCACTAGATGGCATATAAAGAAAGGGGACGGTAGGAGGAGAAAAAAGTACAAAGCTTAAAATGAACCCAGTGTGGCCACATCACCCGTTAGCTCTTAAGAGTGCTAGCATGAAACTTATATGGACAGTATTTCTTTTTTAAAAAGCAATAAATTATGCCCAGTAACTAACTGACTTCAAAATGGCCAAGTCAAAGAAAACTGAAAAAGATTTTGCCTTCCCTTTCCTACCAGGTCTGAAGCACAGTATGTCAGGAGATGAAAAGGGAAAGAACAAAGCAGGAGTCAAGGAGGGAAAGTATCACCGATTTAAACTAAACTAAAATTAAAATGATTTAGGGTTAGGTCAGTAAGACATGATTCATTCAGAAAAGCTTAAGGATCTGTCTGCAAGTCGGGTAGACTTTTAACATCTTGATGTAACTAAGACAGATCCACCGCCACCAGAGCTGGAATAACCCATGGACGCAGTCCTGGAGAAAGGTGATGAAGTGACCAGCAGAACAGTGTGGAGCATGGACTGGGTCCTCCCTACCTTTCTTCTTCCCACCTCCTTTGATAAGCTACATTTTATAATCTCTGGAGGAGAGCATAAGATCCAACCCCCAAGAGTGTAGTAATGTGGGGAGAGCAATGTGGAGAGGGGAAGAGACCCCCCCAAACACAGCAGCTGGGACTGAGGCCAGTTTATCTTTGATCTTTAGTGGTGATGAACTGAATTTGGAAGGGGAGAAAAAATTTTGTCCATGAAATATTCCACCTGCAGGTAATTTTTCAGGGAATCCCCTGAGTTATGAAAAGTTCAAGTTAAAAAAAAAAAAAGAAAAAAGAAAATCAGCCTATTATAATTTTTTTTGACTCAACTACTAAATCCACAAGCAACGGTTCAGACACGGTGCTTCTGAAGTGTTCTCACCCCTCCCAACAGGCGCAAGCTGCATCAAGGAGAGGGTGGACTTCCCCACCTCTGCTTAGGCATCAGGAGATGGATGGGGGTCATTACTGTTGGGCACCAGCGGCAGCTGGAACAGGCATCCCAAGGGAGTTGGCAGCAGCAATCACTGGTGAGCCTGCCAGAGGTCCAAGAGGTGAAGGGGTTGGCACTGAAGAAATCCCTGCAAGAAGAGCCAACAATAAGCCACAGACACAAAGCACACCAGTCATAGCCAACAAACTTTCCATAAGACTTCTCCAAAAGTTAACACAAAGAAAATTCTTTCTTCATGACTTCTCTTGGCCACATTTTTCTTTTCTTTTCTTTTCTTTTCTTTCTTCCTTTCTTGCAAATTTCAAAGTTTAATCTGTACAAATCCAAGCTAAAACAAGTCCTAATCAATGAATTTAGCAGGCAGCTAACTGACAATTATGTATAAATACCATCTGCAGCCTGTCTAGAAGCTCTCTCTCTGTTCTGCATCCCACCTTCTCACAGGGTGACCTTGGGCTACAGGTGGTGAGCACATATTTGGAATGTGGCTACAAGGACTGGGGACTCAATACTACTTTTACTCAGTTTTCATTAAATAGCTGTGTGGGCAGTTTCTACCATACTGAACAGCACAGGACTTCAGCCAACTAACTGTCAACTAATGGTCACTTAATAGAGAAAGGCAAATTCTTGACTGTACAGTATGATTTGGAATCATAGTTTTGGAACAGATTTGGAATCTATTTCCATTTGGTTTCTTCTCCATTTTTATCACAATTACATATCAGCTTGCCCTCAATTACCCATCTCTCTCTCCAAATACAAGACCACCCCCTATCAGTGGGAGATGTGTTCTAAGGCCCCAGGGTATCTGAAACCATGGATATGTGTTTTCTAAATACATATATGTATAATAAAGATTAGTTTAAAAACTAAGCACAGTTATAGAACAGTTTAGCAAAAAACTCTTAACAAAAGTTATATGAATGTTTTATCTTGATAGATTCAAGACAAATTATATTTTTGGATCATAAGTAAAACCATGAATATGGGAGATTTTTGTACATGGTTCAAAAAATACAAGATTTAAAGGAACACATAGTGAAAAGTATCTTTGAACTACGCAAAATAGCAATTCCAACAAACAAACATACACAAATCTCTGTTTTTCATGATTTGTTGGGAATTCAAGTCTCTGCGAGAGATTTTCTGTAGGGATACTAGGGCTTTGAAGGGAAGACGCTGTTGATATCCTATTCAAGACAGTGTCACTAAAACTACTTTCAGAGTATTCAGCAGAACAGATTATATATACCCACTGACCAATTATTGAGCCTTGGCACCCATGTAAAAAGCTTTGTAAAGGAGTAAACCTAGGATTAGAGAGGGGGAATAAGATCCCTGGGGCTGTCTGGGCAGTTGGCCTAACCTAATTGGTGGATCCTAGAGAGAAAAAGCCTGTGTCGTGCGTGGTGCACATGTACATACTCAGGTAAGCATACTCTTAATAACAAAGTGAAGCGGGAAGATCACAAGTTCAAGGCCAGCTTGAGCTACACAGTGAAAGCCTATCTCAAAATACATGAACCAAAAGCACACTCTTAATAACAAAGTGATGACTCCCTAACAACCACCTCTGAGGCTGACCTCTGGCTTCCACACAATGCATGTCAATGTTCTCACACCTACCCATGCCCACCATTTTACACAGAAGAAAAGGTACACAAGAAATACATAGAGGGACCCGAAACTAAGAATAGTAACTTCCTTCTAAATTTTCTAAAAAGATAAGTTACCAATCACCAACCTGACATCATAGTGGCGCTGCTGACAGGTGTACTGCCCCCTGGCATGTTGGATGAACTCATTCTAGCCTGGTCCTTCACAACAGTGTCTAGAAAACAGATAGTAAAGTTAGGTTCTGTTCTGCTTGATGTACTAAACTAGTTGGGGAGAAATAAGAGTAGCTATCCTCAATATTTACCTTTCATTTATACTCTGTATCACTCCTAGAACATAAAGTGGCAAATACCTTCACCATGAATCAAATAAATAGTGCATAATCAACACATGGCCTGTAGAACTGTGGCTAAAAAACAAGTCTGAGTATAATGTCCGGAAGATAAGTAAATATCTATTATAGAGTTAAGGTTAAGTGAATGTTTAATGGAGATAATACAATCTAACCTAGCCAAGATAATAATTTATTATCAGGGAATTGGTCCAAAGCAGGAGACTGAGTGGGAATAACCTGTGTGGGTTAGTGATGGAAGCACAGACTTTATTATTCATACCAAATCAGCCTATGTGTTTTAGTTATAAGGGACTGGGCAACAGAGTACTAGACAAATTGGGAAATCATTGTACTGTTATTCAGGGAACAACCCAATGTTGAAACAAACAGCATGGTGTGGGACTATCATTGCATTCACAAAAGCATAGCTGGCTCTACATTAATAAACCTTAACTTGTAAACCCTACTGATTCTCTCCAACAAATGATTAGTAGAGATGGAACAGGTCAAGGCCTATTTTATTCAACTAGGTCAAACCAACCACTGGGAATTAGTAGGAAAATAAATGTCTATAGAAAAAGATTTTTGCAACAATTTTTTTTTTAAAATATAGATCCTTACTTTATAACCCAGCCTGGCTGGCTTGAAATTTACTATGTGGCCTAATCTGACTTGGAACTTGTGGTGAACCTTCTGTCTAGGTCTCCCAAATATAGGGATATTGGCATGAACCACCACATGTCTGGTAGACAGTGAAATTTCATTAAAGCATTATCATGTACCTTTTTTGGTAGCACTGTGGATTAAACTGAAGGCTTCACCACACCGAGATATCCCCAGCCCTCTTCCCAATAATTCTGCCTGGCAACTGCTATCAGTGCCCCTTAGCTGAAGAAAACAAGGCTCAGAATGAATGAACTAACTTTTTGACAGACGAATAGGAGCTAGATTCCAGATCTGATCTATAACACTTAGAACGTTGTTTACAACATAAATTCTCCTTTGCCTCATATAGTCTGCTGGGCTACACAACTGGACTCACAGAAGTAAGGATGCTCCATGGCCTCTCTTGCAGTGAGCCTCGACTGGTGGTCATATCGCAGGAGCTTGTCCAGAAAATCCAAGGCCTCAGGGCTAACAAGGTGCTGGTTTTCACTGTGGACAAAACGTTCCCATCGCTTACGAGAGTGTCTATAAGGCAAAATTAGAAATGAGAAATGGGTCACAGGGTGCAGAAGCAACACAAAGGAAAGAGGGATAAAATCCAAAGAACAGTCTTAAGGCACTACTTAATACTACAGGAGGATAACACCCACAGATAGAAGGTAACTAGTAACTGGCAACTGGAAATGACAGTGTTGCACCAAGGAGAAACCTGAGTCTTCCCCCTTTTGAAGAAACACACTTTAGGCGATTTTTAGGTTGTTAATGTACTTGTGAAGCAGTCAGGTGGCTGAGCTAGCCAGTATTCTTCCCCCATCTTCATTCTTGGCCAAGCCTGCCATTTGGCAGATAAATACATCTTTGTTATTTATACATTTTTGCCTTTGCTTATACATCTATGTCCTCATATGAGGGGCCAGTGCATTCCTATTCTGTCTTAGCAGAGCCAGGTAGCTGTCAGCAAATCAGTCTATTTCTTTGTTTAGAAAGTGCTGCCATTTAAGACAAAAACCACATCAGAAGAGACTTTAATGCTTGACCCAACTGCGTTCTTCTACTTAGATCTTACATTTACTTAAATTTCCTTCACAGGAATCTTCTGACTGTAATCTTCACACTTAAGACTTTTCTATGTGAATTAAGACAGATAGCCATTCAATCTGATGTTATCAAGTGTGCTCAAATAGCATCCTGAAGCACCAGACCAGACAACTTACACTTTGAGCAAAGAGTTCCAGGATACAAAAGTCCAAACCACACACAGATTTTGTGTGTGTGAGACTTACCTGCCTAAAATATCGTTGAAACGTGGATCTAATTCAATGTTGTACTTGTCAATATAGTCATATAAATCTTCTGTTCCCAGAACCTTGGCTATCCTCACCAACTAACACAGAAGAAAACAAAATGCACACAAGCATATTATATGATCAAGTCAGTAACAAATAGTAAGTGAATTACATAAAATTAAATAAAAGGTACTGATATGGACAAGTGAGTATTACCCCCTTAATGTTTAATTCAAATTTGGTGTGTAGCAGGGGTAGTTTCTATAGAATCCCTAAGTCAACCCAATGTGAAAATGTTTAAAAAAGCCAACTACTTTGCCTGTTTTTTTTTTTTTTCCTCTCCTTGAAAGTCCCCCTGATAAGCTTTTTTTCCTCATCACAACTCAAACAATGATGTGTCTTCTTCTGGAAATTGTCACACTTCTGTATTTAAATTACTATAGTCAATTGCTTTACTGCTGGATTTACCTATAGACAGAAAATAAGCTAGTTGAAGGTATTCCTTTTCCCCCTCCCATCCCTTCAGTTCTGTATGGCAATTGACACAAAGCTGCAGACTTGAACTTCTCGGTGGGTATCTTAAAAACAAACCAAACAAAAAAAAAAGTCTGTCTATTATGCTGAGTGGCATAATATACTAACACACATCTTTATTCCTAGCACTCTATGGGCAGAGGCAGGAGGATCTGACTTCCAGGCCAGCCAGGGCTACACAGAGATACCCTGTCTCAAACAAAACAAAAAGTTTACTGTGTCCAAAGGAAACTAGGCATTGATACTTTCCTGTTATCATCTCTAGTTCTCTTGGTTCCATCTACATTTCTGTTGTGTATATATATATATATACACACACACACACACAACTAAACTCAATTTATATGGAGAAAATGATTAGAGAACTATTAAATATAAGCTGACACATGGAAGAAAGTATTTCTTTTTCTCTCTTCTAAAAGAGATCCATTTTATTTTATGTGTATGGGTGTTTTGTCTACACATATGTCTATGTACCACATGCATGCCTAGAGCCCACAGAGGGAGTTAGATCATCTGGAAGTGGAGTTATAAATGGTTGTGAGCCATCATGTGAGCGCTGGAAACTGAACCCAGGTCCTTTGCAAGGTTAACAAGTCGTCTTAACCATTGGCTCATTTCTCTAGCCTTTTTTGTTCTTTTCTGTGTAACAGCCTTGGTTGTCTTGGAACTGTCTTTGTAGACCAGGCTGTCCTCCTAACTCACACTGCTTCCTTCCTGAGTACTGAGATTAAAGACATGTACCACCTCATTTTTTGAAAAGTATCTAATGCCCACCACATAGAAAAAAAAAGCAATCTTTTTATGTATGTAGTGCATCACAACTGTGCTGTGCTCATGGAGGCCAGCCAGAAGAGATCAGATCACCCAGAACTGGAATCACAGATGGCTGTGAGCTAAATGATGTGGGTGCTAAAAACTGTACCCAGGTCATCTGCCAGATTTGCTAGAGCAGCAAACTCTCTAAGCCACTAAGCTACCTCTCCAGCACCTGTCCAATGTTTTACAGAGCACTTTACACGCACACTTTATAAAGACTGGTGTGTGATTCTGATGTGTAAAGATTAATAAATTGGGCTGCTCTGAGAACTAGTGAACAAGTAGAGAATTCTCAGATACTGTGGAGGTGAGGTTGGGGTGGTAGTGGTATGGGGCACCAGTACTTTACACACACCAAAAAAAAAAAAAAAAAAAAAAAAAAAAAAAAAAAAAAAAAAAAAAAAAAAGAAGAAGAAGAAAAAATAAGAGAGAGAACCAAACATTTTTTTCTTTTTTTAATTTTTAAGACAGGTTCACTCTATGTAGCTATTACTGTCCTTGCTGTGTAAACCAAGCTGGCCTTTAACTCAAAGAGATCTGCTGCCTCTTCCTCCTGAGTGCTAGGATTAAAGGTATGAGTTATGGGGGGAGGAAGGGGCACAATGACACAAGGACTCAGGACCCACATGCTCATATGCCCTTATCTCCTAGGTTCTAGGACTAAAGGAATGCAAAACCACATCTGGATAGGTCTTTATTTTATTTTATTTTTTTTTTGGTTTTTCAAGACAGGGTTTCTCTGTGTAGCTTTGGAGCCTATCCTGGAACTCGTTCTGGAGACCAGGCTGGCCTCGAACTCACAGAGATCCACCTGACTCTGCCTCCCAAGTGCTGGGATTAAAGGCATGTGCCACCAATGCCCGGCTTAGATCTTTAATTTTTGAACATTGTAGCTCAGGCTGGCTTGGAGCTTACGCTGTAGCCCAGGCTGGCTTTGAGCTCACTCTGTAGCCCAGACCCACTGAAGTTTCTTATGAGTTTGCAGATATGGCCATCTTTATACTAGGTCAGTACATTTCCTTAATGGGAACAACATGCAATCACCTGATCATAATTGTCATGTCCATGGAAAAATGGCTCCTTCCGGAAGATCATACTTGCCAGCATACAACCCAAGCTCCACATATCCAAACTATAATCATACATCTGTATTAAAGAAAACATTGTTATCACACAAATTCCAAGGCTTGTCACTTCCAGATACAAAATTTAAAAAAGAATTTAAAAAATTCACTTTGTAAAACCAATAGCACATTCATATACCCCTTTTCAGTTTTTTTGTTTTGTTTTGTTTTTCGAGACAGGGTTTCTCTGTGTAGCTTTGGAGCCTATCCTGGCACTCGCTCTGGAGACCAGGCTGGCCTCAAACTCACAGAGCTCCGCTGGCCTCTGCCTCCCGAATGCTGGCATTAAAGGCGAGCACCACCATGCCCAGCCCTTTTCAGTCTTTTTAATGGCTTCTTTTACCAAGCTATTGTTTTTTGTTGGTTTTTAGTACTGGGGATTGAACCTTGAGCCTTGGGCATGCTAGGCAATTTGTTTATTATTAGGGTTCATTTTCAATCTTTCAATCCAGTTTTATTTCTCCCAAGAAACCTAATTTTAATTATACGTATTTGTGTACAGAGTAGGGGGTGAGTTGAGTATATGTGCACATGAGTGAAAGTACCTCTCACTCATTAAGGGCACTGGATTCCCTAGAGCTGAAGTTACAGGTGGCTATGTACCTAACTTGAGTCTTCCACAAGAACAATATGTGCTCTTAACATCTGAGACACCTCAGCTCCTCAACCCAGTTTTAAAACAAATTGCCATACTACTTTGAATTGCTTTCTTCACTTACATAAGAAAATCTGCAATTTTACTATGTGAAGAAACTCAAGGATCCCCTTCAGAGGGGAGAAGGCCTACTCAACCCAGTTAACTCCTTCTTGAGACAGGGTACTACTGCATAGCCATGGCTATCCTGACTCATCCAGACTGTACTTGAACTCACGAAGATGTCTGCTTCTGCCTCCTGAGTGCTGTGATTAAGAGGCATAACATGCCTTCACACCTGGTGAGGATATATTCTTTAGAATTCTAGAGATGGAACTTAGGGCAGGCAGAACCTGAAACTCAAAGGCACTGATAACATATAAAGAATGGGTTCGGAAAGTGTCTCCTGAAGGGTTCTAAAATACTAGGTAAATCTTTTTTCCCCCATTTAAAAAAAGACTTATTTGGGGGCTGGAGAGACAGCTCACTGGTTAGGAACACTGACTGCTCTTCCAGAGGAGCCAGGTTAGAATTCAAGAACCAAATAGCAGCTCATAAAGACCTGTAAAACTCGTTTCAGGGAATCCAATGCCCTCTTCTGACCTCCACAGGTAATAGGCACAAATGTGATACTTATGACATACAACTGAGCAAAAAACTCATACATATAAAATTAAATAAATCCAAAAAATTTTTTTAAAGATTTTGTTTTTGGACACAGGGTTTCTCTGTGTAACAGCTTCATAGACCAGGCTTGTCTTGAACTTACAGAGATCCACCTGCCTCTGACTCCTGAATGCTGGGATTAAAGGTGTTTTCCACCACTATCGGGCTTTAAAAGATTTCAGTTGTATGTTTATCCAAGTTTTGCCTGGGTAAATGTATATGTATTGCCTATGTACCAGTTTTTGCAGAGAAAGTAACCAATTGTTGGGAGCTACCACGTGGGTGCTAGGAACTGCACCAGCTCCTCTACAAGTACTCTTCTTCTTCTTTTTTTTTTTTTTAGACTAATTTACTTATTATGTATACAGTGTTCTCCCTGCATGTATGCCTGCATGACAGAAGAGGGCACCAGATCTATAATGACAGTTGTGAGCCACCATGTACTTGCTGGTAATTAAAATCAGGACCTCTGGAAGAACAGCCTGTTTTTTTGTTTTTTTTTTTTTTTCCTCCCCCGAGGCAGGGTTTCTCTGTGTAGCTTTTGAGCCTGTCCTGGAACTTACTCTGTAGACCAGGCTGGCCTTGAACTCACAGAGATCCTCCTGTCTCTGCCTCCCAAATGCTGGGACTAAAGGCATGTGCCATCACTGCTCAGCCAGCCTGTATTCTCAAACTCTGAACCATCATCTCTCCAGCCCCAAGTGCTCTTAACTTCTGAACCAACTCTCCCACCTGCCGTTTCTCCCCATTTTGGGGATAGGGTCTTATACTATAGCCTGAGGCAGATCTCAGTCTTGTGGCAATTTTCTTGCTTCATTCACCCTTCCAAGACCAAGGAAATCAGAGTGTGTGTGTGAGTGATATGGGATGGGATGATACATGTGTATGGGGGTGGGATTCTTTATATTTGAGGCTAAATTTAGGAGATGTGCAGGAGACTTTTCCTTCTTTGTAAAAGAGAGTGTCTCATGTAGTCTAGGCTAGCCTTGATTGAACTGATCCTTCTGCCTCTATCTCCTAAAAGATGGATTACAAGTTAGGTACAACATGCCTTCCGGATCAAGAGAACCTCTTATTTGGCATCTTCTGGTTTTCTTTGGTAATTTCAGAAACATAATTTAACATTACTACACATAAACAAAACATGTTACACAAGATAGCTCATATATTTGTTACATTTTACCTTAAAAAGGACAGCTATGAATATGGTAAATGGCTTACTACTCAAAGCACAAACTGACATTTCTGCAAAATAAGCACAGGAACAACACCGTTCTTGCCATTCTCTTCTTACCTGATAATCTACAAGTAGCTCTGGACCTTTGAAGTATCGGGAAGCAACTCGGACATTATATTCTTGACCAGGATGGTAAAATTCAGCTAAGCCCCAGTCTATTAGCCTTAGCTAAATGGAAAAAAAAAAAAAAAAAAAAAAGAGAGAGAGAGAGAGACAGAGACTAAGTCACATATAACTTCAGCATCTTGGAACTACTCTCCTTCTGACAGGGCAGTACTCCAGAGAAGACACCTTCAGCTAGGTGTTGACACCCTTGCCAGTGCTTTGCAACATCACCCACTGCATTTTCATTTAGCTATGTTACTACTCCTGCAGTAAATTTCAAGATGCCAACACTCTGTCCAGACCCTGCTCCCCATCTTCAGAGAAAAGGCCTGCGAACAACATATGACTTGGAGGTTCACTTCCCCTCTGACCTCATTTCCTTCTTTCCTTTCTATCTCAGCTTTACCCGTGTTGCTGATCCAGCATCCGTATTGTGATATGATTTTAATACCCACACTGTTTTTCATCCATGATTTCTGGCTAATTTCCACAATGCCTATATTTTCTAAACTTCTAAAATAATAAACATACTTTTTGGTATTTTTGTGTGCTTGTCTTTGATCCTAGGCCATCCTAGGCACTGAGCTCCATTCCTAATCTGAGTTCCTAGCACAATGTAGGCCTCAGAGAGCAAAACTCCCCTTGTGTACTCAGTTTGCTTCTTACCTTTTCTCTTCAAAGTAAGCAATAGAAACTGAGCTCTTTCCTAACCTAGATCACAGACACTTGTATGAAAATGTGTTTTGGCAGACCACATGTGAAGATAACTTTTCCAAATGGGTCTTGTATCACATCTGGGAAGAATGTGAAAAGACCAGCAGTCTTGCTTGTTTTCCAAAGGAGCCTACATGCTATTTGGCTATTCACACTTTATCACACTTACTGCAATACACACACACACACACACACACACACACACACACACACACACACACACACACACACACACAGAGGGTAGACTTCAAGGAGCTTTTGGACAGCTACATGGCAGTTCCTAGAAGGCAATATGTTGGGAGATGACTTGGAAGCTCTGCACATTTCCCCATAAACCTTGCCCTCAGCTCATCTCTCCATCTGTTGTCACTGGTAATATCATTTTGAACAAAGCAGTAAATCTATTTACCTAAATCCTGAAAGGGTCTAGCAAATTGAACTACAGAAGGATTGTGAAAAAAAAGTAATAGCCAGTTGTTCAGAAGTGCAAAGAGAACAACCTAGGGCTTGAAGCCAGCATCTGAAAGGGAAGAGGTGGAAGCCTTGGGAATCTGATACAATGTCTAGGTGGTCAGTGCTAAAACTGAATCAAATGAGAGGATACTATGCTAGTGTCTGCCCTAGAATTTACTAGCTTACTTGGGGAGAGAAATTATTTTTCTTCTTGGGATATATTTCTTTCTTACATTATATATTGCTGATTCTACTCCAGTGCTCTCAAAATTGTCAGTGTTCCAATGGAACCCTACAGAACATCCTACACTGTGCTGGCTAGAGTCATTTGGGAAGAAGACAACTCAATTGAGAAAATGCTCAACCAGACTGGCAGGCAGGCAAGCCTGTTACACTATCTTGATTGGTCATATGTGAGAGGGCCCAGATCACTGTGGAAGGGGCTACCAGCCATCCCCTCCCACAGCAGGTGGCCCTGGATGGCAGGTATCAAGCTGAGCAATCCAAGATCAAGCAGGCCAGTACGCAGCATTCCTCCATGGCCTCTGCCTCGGCTCTTGCCCTCCAGGTTCCCTGAGTGATAGACAGTACTGTGGAACTATAAGGTGAAATAAACCCTTTCTGGGTTGCTTTTGGTCATGGTTTTTAATCACAATCATAGCACTAGAAACCCTAACTAATGGCAACATATCCCTTAGTTAAGTATCTTCTGTGATCTGTCATTGTCTATTCTCTGATCCCTTCATCCTTCCTTCCCTTTCCAATACCTCTGTGAACAGGGTCTCACTATGTAGAACCAGGCTGGCCTTGAACTCAAAGCAATCTCCTGGCTCAGTCTCCCAAGTATTGAGACTGCTTGCACGATGGCTTTAGTTACCACATTTGACTGAAATGTAACCTCTTTAGAGACAAGCATTTTTTGTTTGCTTTGTTCATTTATATACCTCCAACCTCAAAGAACCTGTTACAAGATATGTGGCAGAAAAATGTATTAACTTGTCACCTAAATTCCCTAAGTTTTAACCTCTGCACACACACAAAAGCAAACAACAGCAAGCAAGGTAGCACAAATTTGTAATCCCTATACTGGGGAAGTAATAGGTGGAATGACCCACATAGCACACTGGCTAGCCAGCTATCAAATTAGTGAGCCAGGTGCCAATAAGAGACCTTGTCTCCAGAAAACAAAACAAAAACCAGAGACGTGTGACTCCAAAGGAAGAAAACCCAAGGTTGACACACATACCTGAACAGACACACACATTTGGTAGAATGCTTGTGTAGCACATTTAAGGCCTTGAGGTCAACCCCCAGAACCACATAAACTGGGCATGGAGACACACACTGTAATCCCAGCACTCAGAAGATACAGGCAGGCAGGAGGACCAGAAGTTCAAAGTTATTCTCTTTTTATAATGGGTTCAAAGTTAGCCTAAGATACATAACAAGACACTGCCTTGAGTTGCAGGTTAAAAGCACCACTTTCTACCAAGCCTGATGATTTCAGTTCAAGCACTGGGACTCACAGGATAGAAGGAAAAAATTGACATTAAAGTTTTCCTCTGATCTCTATACATACGCCATGGTATACACATACCCAAACTCAGATACATACTCCCACATAGCACACTGGCTAGCCAGCTATAAAATTAGTGAGCCCTGTCTTGACAAAATAATGAAAAAAGATTATATCAATCTGGATGCTATAATGCACGCCTTTAATGCCAGCATTTAAGTGGCAGAGTCAGGTAGGTCATTCGAGTTCGAGGCCAGAGCTTAGAGAAAACCTAACAAAACAGGAGGAGGAGGAGGAACAGGAGGGAGGGAGGGAGGGAGAGAGAGAGGCAGGGAGAGAGGGGGTTACTAAGTAATATTGGCCCATTCCTTTTAATCCCAGCACGCAGGAGGCACACAGACAGGTGGATTGCTGTGAATTTGAGGCTAGCCTGGTCTACATAGTAAGTTCCAGGACAGCCAGGGCCACATAGAGAGACCCTGTTTCAAAACACACACAAATAAAAAAAAAAGGGTGGTGGGGGGGTGACGAGACTGGGGAGATGGTTTGGTTAATAAAGTGCCTGCCTGCTGTATAAATATGAAAATCTGAGTTCTGAATCCCAGCACTCATGTTATACACTGGATGTGACAGCCTGTGTCTATAATCTCAGAGGTGGGGAGATGGACACAGGAGCATTCCTGAGGACACTGGCCTGAGAAGATTAGCGAACTCTTCTAGCTGGAGGTTCAATGAGAGACCCTGTCTCAATGAAACACAGAATGATAGAGGAAGACATGACATTGACCTCTATCCCCTAAATCCAGATGTACACATACATCCACACACCTCCCATAAACAAAATCTGAAATATTATAAAGCATACTTAATAATATAGCACTTAAAAAGGTCACAAGGTTCTTGGCCTCTGCTACAAAGCAGCATTTTCTGAATAATTTATCCACTTCATAAGCATGAGTTTGTTCGATCTATCAATTAATCTACCTACTTACCTACCTACCTATCTACTTGGCTTTTCCAGACAGGGTTTCTCTGTGTAGCCCTGGCTGTCCTGGAACTTGCTCTATAGACCAGGCTGGCCTCTAACTCAGAGATCTGCCTGCATCTGCCTCCCAACTTCTGGGATTTAAGGACCACTGCCTGGTCCTTATTTATTTTTTGAGACAAGGTCTTAGTATATATCCCTCTTCTGCCATGAAACTTGCTATGTAGACCAGCCTGGCCTTGGACTCAAGAGATCTCACTGCCTCTGTGCTAAGATTAAGGGCATATGCCATCATACTCAGCCCAAGCATGAGAGTTTAATTCTCATATCAAATATAATGACATTGAGGGAAAATAATAAATCCTTGTAAAGATTTGTTATTATTGTTTTAATTAAGCAAGTGAAAAGAATTTAACAAATCAGTTACTTAATAGGAATAGAAGGCAGACTTCTTGGCTTGGATCAATGTCTTGCTCACTATCCTGTTTCCTTCTAGTATACCTAGCAATATGAATAATGGTTTAAACATGTAGACTTAACTATTTCATTCAATTGCAAAATATTTATCAAGTATCTAACAGGTACTAAGACAGGCAATAGGGATAAAGTGTTGAAGATAAACTGCTAATCCACCATACTTATAAGAAGCTGGGCTATGACTTTACCTTTCTGTGTTCATGATCAATCATGACATTATGGGGTTTCACATCTCTGTGCATAATCCCCATGCTGTGACAATAATCCAGGGCCTGTAAGAAAGGAAAATGTGCTTCAATGAGACATTGTTTTAAGCTATTTTCTTTCTTCTAGCCTCACAACAATCCGGGGAATCATGATTAGGACAGTCACTCTCAGCTATTCCTCAAGACCTGGTTCACATAGTCAAAAACACTTAGGGCTCTCATATTCAAGTTATAAAATCATCTCATCTCCATCTCTCAAAAGGGTCTTGCTATGTTGTAGCCAGGCTACTCTTAAGCTTCTGTCAACCTGCCTGCTTCAGCCTCCTAGTGCTGGGATTATAGGCATGTGCTGCTCTTTACTTATTTCAGAAAGACCCTAAGTGTTCAAAACTGCACAACTTCTTGTCCAAAACCTAAAGTATTTCTATTACACAGTCCCCTCAGAAGAAAATTAGCCTACCAAGATTCTATTTAAAGAACAGTAATTTCTTCAGTAGCTGAGAGTTGGGTCAATCACCAGCTGCCTGTACATAGGAATGTTTTACTTACACAAAACTATGCCTACGTGTGTACAACCCATCCATGGCTATTTTCTTGCTATAATAGCAGAGTTGAACAGCAGGGCAAAGACTTCAGCCCTATATAGAAATTTGTCAACTCCTGATCTAGGTCATCTATCAAATTTGCTTAAGTTCCATCATAAGCTTAAGTTACAGTGAATAGAGCAACACAACTTTGAGTTTGTCAATCCTGGCCTTTAGTCAACCAATGACATTAGCTAAGTTCTTGTTCTTCCTGAAGGACAACCTGGGATTCTAGTTTGCAGGGCTGGGCAAATATATCTACAGCATTAAGTAGAGCTTTCCACATGAGTCAATGGAAGATCAAATGTCTCTGTAGGTATAATCTTTTGATGCTATTTTGAGGGGGAGGGGAAACATGTTTCACTATGTAACTCTGGCTGGCCTGGAACTCATTATGTAGACCAGACTGGCCTCAAAAACCAGAGATCTGCCTGCCTCTGCCTCCCTAGTGCTGGGATCAACAGCATGTACAAACATGCCTAGCTTCCTTTTGCTACTTTTAAATCTTAAACAGCTGACATAGTACTAACCTATTATTAATAAGAAACTTTAGCCTACTCTAAGCAGTTCTCTCCTTATAAAGCTGATCTTGTAACTACTGAGTAGCAAGATAATTTGTGATCTCACTTCAGAAATCAAAATCCACTAGTAGTCAGTGGAAATTTACAGTCCTTAGAACAATAACCCTCTGAGGGCTGAGTTCAAGAATCTTTTTTTAATCTTGTGTTTCTTGACAGTCTCACTCTGTAGCTCAGGCTGGCCTCGAACATGTGGCAGTCCTCATACTGGGATTACAGGAAGGCCTGCACCTCCAGGCCATCGTCATTTGTTGCATCCTAAGTAAAATAAAGTATATCAGCAGCTAGTGCATAAAAAAAAAAAGAGTTGTTTTCACACTGTCATTTCCACTCCCAGTTCTCTTTAAGGCATTCTACGGCTGGGGATACAGCTAATTGGTAAAGTACCTGGTTTGGCATGCATCACAGAATAAAAACTGTAACAAACAAACAAAACCAAGGCATTCTAAATTTGGGTGTGGTAGGTCATAATTGTGAGTCCCAGAATGTGGGAGACTAGGGTAGGGAGATCATCAAGAGGGCCACCCTGGACTGGACTGCCTTGTGAGTTGTAGGCCAGCCTTGCTTAAGAGGTCCTATCACATAAAACCCACATGTTCTAGTTATAGTTCTATTGCACCCTATTTCATTACTGAGCCTTAACCCAAGGGTCCAACACTAAAAACAGTTTACTACTACTGCTGAAGTTCCCTGATTTCAGCATACATTACAAAGTTAATCCCCTGGTTTTTCTATCATCAAATAAACCTCTTGACAAAGCAAAGAGCAATTTAAAAATACTTAGTACCTACAGTTACTTACTTTTAGAATTTCATACATGTAAAATCGAATGTCATAGTCTGTTAATGTCTGGTACAATTGCTGTTAAAGACAAATGAAATTATTTAAGCTATAAAACAATACTAAAAAGACAATTTTCTCACCCTAATTAACAGTAATTTCAACTAAGAACTAGCTCATTCACCATGGTCCCAAAATTTGTTTTTCAAATGGTCTCTATCTCTCCACCAAAAATTCACTTTCAAGAGACTCTTGGAGTCTTCACCTCTACAAGTAAAGGTAAAGGACAACATAAACACATACTGAAACTATAATGCAATGTTGGAACCTACCTATACACATGATTGACACAACATGCACCGATATACTTTTACAACCTAGGGTTTTCTTTACATTTACCTTCTAAGTCCCTTCAAACGCATTCTGGCAGACAACCCCTGTAGTAGTGAAATGCCCTTCATGTGCCTACACACTTGGTACTATGATCACCAGTGGGTATGTAAATGTGAAGACAAATCTGCTGATTCACCCGAACAGAACTAACTATTCCAGCCTACGGTGACCATAGACTCTACATACAGCTGCAATATAACTTTTCCAGTTTCTAAAAGGGCTGCAGATTATTTTTTACTTCTAATTACCTTTGAATGGTGAGTGGCGTTCTCTTAACAGTTTTTGAGTTTATTACTCTGATTCTAACATATCTACAACAGTTTCTCTTTTCTTTCCTTTTCATAAATAAATAAATAAATAAATAAATAAATAAATAAATAAATAAATAAACAAACCACCTGTTTAGGGATACTAACATTCCTGATACTGGACTTGTACAAAGGCAAGTCAAACTCTATTAAATATGTACTTGAGGAAAACGCCTACATTCTTCAGTTATACTGGAATAGAACTGTTTGAATAAGTAGGCCACCCGAGAATCTGCAGAGATATGTATTGTACTTGTTTGTATTATAGCAAAATCTTACACGACCTTTTCTCACTATCTTTTATGATCCATACCCTAGGGAATAGGACAGCTCAATGACAGCTGAATTGCCAGGCACTTTAAACTCTCAAGATCTGAGCTCAATATACAACAGAACAAGAACAAGGAAAAAGAGTAATATAGCCTAAAGTTCCTAAGGAATATGCATTTGTCCCTAATATTACATAAACAATTTATTCTTTCTTGAACATTGTTGCCTAAAGTCAACATGTACTGTCACCTCCACTAGTCTGTACACCAGCAAAAACTGTTACATCTATGATAAATGTGGCAAGATATAAAAGTAATAGTTATTGAAAAACCACAAATATAGGCATAAAATATCCAGATATGAAAAACAGATACTACTTTTAGTGCTGATCAATCTAGGGCCAAAACTTTTTAAAATAAGCAAAATGCAAGCTCTTTATACACTGTCATCCCCAAAAGACTTTCTGTATGACCTAAAAATTCAGTAGTTGGAAATGGTTGCTTATAGATGATACCTTGAAGTCTGTGTTGTTTACATGTTCAAAAACCAAGGCGGGGGTTCGTGACTAAGGGAAAAAAAAAAAAAAGAAAATACATTAGTACTGGCCCTGGCAGCTCTAGTTTTCAGCTTGTGGGCATTGTGTGGGGACTGTGGCAGTCTTTGTTGCAGTAATAAGAAACCTTGTCCACTCTGATCATTACCACACTTAGGTTATTTTTGGAAGGATTTTGTAGAAATATACCAAGTTGAAATCTCCCAAGACTCTAGGGGACCCAATAATATTCCTATTGTCCACTAGCACTAGGTCTAAATTTGCAGATTGGATTAACACATTTGGTTTTAGTGCTATCAGTCTCCTAGGCTAGATAGAATACCAGACTTTGTGTGTGCATGTGTACAGGTATTAAAAACTCTTCTTTCTAAGCAGGACCTAAGCTGGTTAAATGTGTAACTGATTTATAACATTAAAGCAATTATTTAATGGTAGGGTAGTGAAAACAGAACTAAGTTGTACTTTGGGTTCAACATCAACTGAGCCCTGGTAGATCTTGTAACAACTACTGCACTTACCACAGGGTCTTTTACAATGTCTGCAAGTGTGATGATGTTGGGACCACCTCTCAAATTCTCCAAAATCTTTATTTCACGCTTAATTTTCTTCTTTTTTACTGGCTGAAATGGTAAAAAGTATATTAGCACAAAAAAGTATTTCTGAGTACATCTCACAGTTACTGTAATACAAAACAGCTTCAATATGGGCTTCCTGAAGAAAGGAAATGTGACTTCTCAGAACCTCTTCTCCCAGCACTACTAGGCACTTAAAATTTTCTACTCCAAAGGCCAGATATACACAGAATTATGATTTAGTTTCAAATTTAACTGCAATATGTCATACAACCTTGTAAACCATCATTTAAAATGGCAACATAGTAGATCTTTAAACAAAAATCTTATAATGGGGCCAGAGAGATGGCTCAGCCTTTAATGGCATTCTCCACCAAAACTGCTGATCCTCTGAGATTCACCCCAAGCCCATGTGATGGAGAGAAATCAACTCTTGATGTACTCTGATCTCCAAAGACCCACAAAATAAGTAAAGAAATGTTAAAATAAAGCTTTTAATGAATTGGGGGGGGTCTTTTTAATTCTCTCCTCCTGTACAGTCTCCCTATAGCCTAGGTGGCTTCAAATTCATACCAATATTCCTGCTTTGCCTCCTGAATGTTCTTTAAAAGAATGCAATTTTCTTTTAAAATGGCTAATAATGTTTTGTGTTTTTAGGTGTGTGTGTTCTATTGTTTTGCCTGTGAATTACCATTAAAAAAAAACAAAAAACAAAAACTTTCGAGACAAGAAAAATGCTACAAATGGAAAGTGTTTGGGAACTTCTGCTCTGCGGCAAGAAACTGAGTTGAGTCCCCAGTATAACAAAGCACAGCAGGCAGTACATTAATAAACAATGAGCAGAAGACGTACAGTGACAGCCCATTGGCTAAATCTGACTTGCGCAAACGTTACGTATTTTTAATTTTGATATGTATAGGTGTTTTGCCTGCATGTATGTTTGTGCACCACATGTGTAAGTGATATCCTCAGAGACCAGAAGAGGGCATCAGATCCTCTAGGACTGGAGTTAAAGATAGTTATGAGCTGCCATGTAGATTAGGAATAAAACTTAGGTCCTCTGAAGAGCAGCCAGTGCTCTCAACCACTGAATCATCTTTTCAACCTTCTGATGTTTAAAATAATCAGATTATGTAAATATTGTTTTCTAAATTCTCTTTGCAAAAGAAAGCACCAAGAAACACTAGACTTGCACTAGTAAGCTTCAGCTAAGAAGCCAACTATCTCCTTTTCTTTTGTTGGGGAGAGTGTGTGTGCATCTCCTCAATTGTGTCTCCACTACATCTGTTACAAATTTTATATACATATATTTAAATAAGTCCCACAGCATGTGCATGGAGATCAAAGAATAACTTAGGGAGTTGAGCCATATAGGTTCTAGAGACTAAACTGAGGTTGTCAGTTCTGGCAGCAAGCATCTTTACCTGGTGGACCATCTTGCTAGTCCTCCACCTTCCATTTTGAGACAGGGTCTTCTCATCTTCACTCATTAAATCTGAAGCTTACTGAGTGATTAGCCATCCTGGCCAGTAAGTCCTAGTCATATTCAAGTCTCTAAATTCCCAGTACAGAAATTACAGGCACCCACTGCCATGTCTGCCTCTATTTTAGGTGGTTACTAGAGATCTGAACCCAGATCCTCAGACTTGCATGGCGAACACTTTAATGAGTAACCTTCCCAGCTGTTATTCTGTTTGTTTCTCCTTTTTTGTAGCACTAGGAATCAAATCCAAGGCCTGATGCACTTTAAGCAAGCAGTCTACCACCGTGCTACACACCAGACAGTTTCTTTTTCTGATGAAGCAAGTGTCTCCAGGCTTGTCTTAGTCTCTACCATTCATAAGCTGAAGTGATGATGGTGATACCACATTAGATGTTCCTGCTTGCCTTCTTATTCCGACAAAGCAGAGGTAACGATTTGCTTATTGAAAACAAAAGCACAAAATGAACTGAAAGCATAGGAAATGGACATCAAGTAAAACTTGGGAAAGAAGAGCCTTTTGGCCACATTGTAACCATCTCTTCTCTTGCTTTAGGTCTGACCTAGCAAGCTAGTATAGGGTGGTTCTGTTCACTTTAGAGGATACAATAGGGAGGCTAAATTACTTTGGGGGGGGGGGCTCATGTAACAAGTATAAAAAGGTATCTATATGCATAAATTCCACATTCAAACAATTCTGACATTATTTCTCTTCTTGTACTCACCTTGAGAATTTTAACAACAACTTTTTCATTATTTGTGATGTTGATGGCTTCAAACACTTCACTGTATTTTCCCCTGCCTAATTTTCGAACAAGCTGGTAGTCATCTTGATTTCTATGGATAAAAACAAAGTGACAATGATTTCAAAATACCAAATTTTCAACTTGCAAAACTCTATTTTTGCCAGACACGGTGGTGCATGCATGTAATTACAACACTTGGCAGGTGAACACAGGAAGACCTGCATTCAAGGTCATCCTGAGCTATTTACAGAAAGCTTATTGATAGCCTACAATGACTCTGAAGAAAGGAAGAGAAACATATGCTCACAAATGCATGTGCACACACGTGCGCGCACACACACACACCCCACATGGAGGGAAAGAGAAGTAGAGACAGACAACTCTATTACCATCAGAAGTAATACAAGTAAGAGATATTTCAAATGTTACATAAAACAAACAAACAAAAACAAAAAACAACAACAAAAATAAAAAATACCTGGGCTAGTTAAAACTATGTGTGTATCAAACAGAAAACAGAAAAGTTTGGAGCTATCGCTCAATTGGTAGAGTGCCGACCTAGCATACATTTGGCCCTGGGTTCAGTCCCCAGAACCATGTAAACCAGACACGGTATACACCTATATTCTTAGCATTCAGGAGGTGAAGACAGGAGGACTGAAGTTCAAGGTTATCCTGAGCTACATAGTTCAAAGCTAGCCTGGGCTGCATGGGATTCTGTTTCAATAGGCATTAAAAAGAAAATGAATTATTATTAAGCTTTTTCAATTTTTTTTCAAATCTCCAACTATTTATGATTCTAATGGAGCAGCACACTGAGAATCTGTCTCAATAAGCATTAAATAAAAGAATTATCATTATTATTATTAAGCTTTTTCAAATATGGTTAGCTTATATTGGGATTTAAGTATATGTTTGTCTCCAACAGCAGGCTACTTCCCCTTCAGTAACTGATTTGTGTATTCTTGCTTCATACTAGCTGGTCCAATATTAGCACTGAACTCGACAAATGATGTAAGATTATTAGAGTTCAGCTACATCCGGAAGCAGCCTTTTCTTACCAAGCCTCTTTGTCTACAAGTGGATTCCAAATATATATACATATATATATATATATATATATATATATATATTTATTTATTTGATACTTCATGACAATATCTGACTTTTAATAAAGCTTGCAACCACATCAGAAGTGAACCAGAGGTCCTACCCACATTCAATTAACTGATAAGGACACTAGAGGTCATAGGCAGAGTAAAGAATAAGGCAGATGTTATACTTTCCCTCCTCCCCTGCTGCCTACTTGAGGCCTTAGCTCTAACCAACAACAAATGGAGTCCCTTCAGGAGGCCTGGCTGGTTCCAGGGATCCACAAATGTAATCCCAGGACTTAGGAGGCTCAGGAAGGGGAACGGCAAATCTGAGGCTAGCCCGGGCTATAGAGTGAAAGCTTGCCACAAAAACAAACAAGATAGCAACAAACAAGTAAGGCCCAATTCTACCAGGTATGGTAGTGCATGCCTATTCCTAGTTATTTGGGAGACTGAGGCAAGAGGACCACAAATTTAGGGTCTGCCTGGGCCACAGGGTGAATTCAAGATTGGCCTGTTTAACTCATAGAAACTTTATGCCTGTATTATCAATCCCAATACTTGGGACGTAAAGGCAGGAGGATCAGGAGTTCAAGTTCATCCTTAGTATATGAGATTCTATCTCAAAAAATACCAAAAAATAAAATGGAGCTGGAGAGATGAATTAGTGGTTAAGAGCACTTGTTCGTTCTGAGGACCCAGCTTCAGTTCCCAGCATGAGCATATGTAACTCCAGTTCCAGGGGATCCAATCTCCTCTCTTGATCTTTGAGGGTATCATACAAAACATTTATTCATATCAAATAAGTAAATCTTAAAATAAATAAATGTGGGCTGGCAAGATGGCTTAGAAGGTAAACAGCCGCTTTCAACCTCTGGTCCCATTAGGTGCATGGAAAGAACCAACTCCATTAGGTGCATGGAAAGAACCAACTCCCAAATTGTTCTTCAGCACATATGGCACATGCGGTCTCTGTCAGATAAATACAGTGCAATCATTTTCTAAACTCCCAAAATGTGCTAGTGTACAACAGAGTCCCAACTCCAGAGAGGTGGAGGCACAAAGTTCAATGTCATCCTGGGCTAGACAGCAAATCTGAGGCCTTTCTGAGTTACCTGAGGCCCATGTCATGAAAGAAAAGAAAAAAGTCTGGGGCTGTAGCCCAGCAGTTGAGTCCCTGACTACTATCTACAAAAGACTAGGTTTAATGCTAAGTAACGGGAGGAAGAGGGGCTAAATTCTACTCATTTTTTTTTTTTTTTTTTTTTGAGACAAGAGTTTCTCTGCAGCTTTGGAACCTGTTATCCTGGAACCTGCTCTGTAGACCAGGCTGGCCTTGAACTCACAGAGATCCACCTGCCTCTACCTTCCAAGTGCTGCGATTAAAGGTGTGAGCCACTACTGCCCTGTTGGGTTTTTTTTTTTGGTTCCCACTTATTATTATACAGTATGTACCATTATCAGTCATTCATTTTCTCAAGTAGTTTTTAAAAAGGAGAACGAAAGAAAAAACAAAATGAACTAAGGACAAAAGACAATATTAGGGCTGGAGAGATGGCTCAGGTTAAGAGCACCAACTGTTCTTCCAGAGGTCCTGAGTTCAATTCCCAGCAACCACATGGTGGCTCACAATCATCAGTTATGAGATCTGGTTCCCTCTTCTGGTGTGCAGATATACATGGAAGCAGAATGTTGTATACATAAAAAATAAAGTCTTTTAAAAAAATAAAGATGCTCTTCAAAAAAAAATCAATATTAATACTATCAGGTCTCTTTCTGTTCACTGAGTTTGCAAGGGCATATAAACTAATACAAACAAGCAAACAGCACATGTAAACATTCAAAGGGCTCTCTAGTATCACTGCAGCAGTACTATGAGAGCATTTACTTTCGAAAACTAAGATTTCTGCAGTAAACACAGGTAGTACTTAGAGTTCAAAGTCTGACATTACAGAATTGTTAAGATTATCAGTAGTGATAACATTTATTGGTTTATACCATGGTTCTTAATAGTATCACTAAGCCAAGAGTGTTTCCTTATATGCAGAAAAATTGCTTGCTGTTACATATTACAGCATACCAAAATGGAAACCATACCCTGTGACAGTTCTATGACAGTTTAGGAAGACAATTTAACTACTGACAGACTAATGAAAGTCATATGGAATCAGATACAAGATACCATGTATGGGAGTTAACTTTTTTTTTGGAGGCCCAGGTCGACCTCCAATTCAAGGTCATATGGCCTCAGCTTCTCATATTTAGTTGAGTTATACATCTGTGAGTTTTCAAATTGCTTTATTTTGTACTTAACTATTAAAATGCTTTTATCACAAAAATGACAAAACTCTCCAATTAAACGTCACGTTCAGACAGGAAATGCAAATATTCAAATGAGCCTCTCATGGGTAATTATGAGAATAAACACAGTTGTTAAAGGAGGCTACAGCTCTTGAGGATACAATTGGGCTGCATTCCATGATACACATAACTAGGGTCATGGAAAGGATACAGGGTAAATCCTGGCTCTCATCCAAAAGAAGTTTCTGTTTCTAGAGAACTATTTCATCCTTTGCTATTACCATGGGACAGAACTCTGACCCCTAAAATACCTTAAGTAATTAAATTTGGTGATTTCAAAGTCTCTCACCTATCTTCAATGCTAGTTTTTAACTCAGAAGCCCAGGCAAGCCCTAAACTTGTGATCTACCTGCCTCACTTCCCCAAGGTTCCATAATAGCAGCTAAAGCTTTAAGGCAAGCTGACAGCTAAGTCTTTGTTAGTACCCCCACACACAAAATATATACACCAGAGAAGGAATCACAATGACTGTTAGACAGCAAACCCAGAAACTGAGCTTGCCAAATGATCAACCTGCTGTGTGATAAACTTGTAGCCCCAACAAAGCAAGCTTGGCTTTGTCCTTGAGCTTTGGAGGGGGCAGGAAAGGCTTGCTGACATGAATTATTCAACAAATCTATAAGTACAACACTATGGGTGAGTACAGTGAAGTAAATGGAAATAATTACCCCCATTCCACCACATGTGACTCATAATCCCAATACTCTCGGGGTCTGTGTGTGTTAACATCTGTGTAAACTCTGGCCCTGCTTGGCACGGGTCCCGACATGTCAGACAGGTTGGCAGACAAAGCTGAACTTGATGTTTGAAGATCTGGCAGTTACTGTGTTCGGAGGCAGATGTGGATAAGACCTTGTTTCAGGCCTATTTTCTTCAAACTGCAGGAAAAAAAACGTAAAAAGACAAATTACTTTTTTAAAAGTATTTTGGGGGAAAACCATTTTACTAATTATTAATGATCCCAAATATACCTCTATGCTAAAATATTCCAGCTGTGCTAAAACTGATACAGATCCTAACTAAATTATGCAAAGTAGCCTGTAATCCACATGCAATGTTTGGATATTCTTTGTAAGATAACATGGAAGATAAAAATGGCACTAAGGGTAGATACAACAGTACCGTCACTGTTTACAAAAGGTATGCTTAAATGTTCTAGAATGGGGAGAAAGCCACCAGTTATCAGCTGATTCTAACATCTGACAGAACTAGGAAGAAACAACTCATATACCTTCAATATTATCTTATGTTGACCCTAATCATCTGGGAGATCTTACAGAATAATTAGCAGACACATAACATTGAGATTTTGCCAGGCAGTAGTAGCACAGGCCTTTAATCCTAGCATGCAGGAGGCAGAGGCAGGTGGATCTTTGTGAGTTTGAGGCTAGCCTGTCTACAGAGCTAGTTCAAAGACAGCCAGGGTTACACAGAGAAACCCTGTCTTGAAACACACACACACAAAAAAAGATATACTAAATTTCAAGTTGGTACTTTTCCTTTATAGGAACAAACAGTAAAAACTGCTATTGGCAGTGTGTGGCAGCACACACCTATAATTCTAGCACTTAGGAAGCCCAAGAGTTCTAGGTCATCATCAGCTATATACAGTTTGAGGTTAACGTGGGCAGGACACCCTGTCTCAGACAAAAACAAAACAAAAAATCATGCCAGGTATTAGATAGCAATAATGTATTTTACCTGAGTTAACATAACACCTAAATCTTCAGGAAAGCCCAACACACAAGAGGTAAAGGCAGGAGAATCAGGGAATTCAAGGTTAGCCCCAACTATTTGTCAAGTTAGGGGCCAGTATGGGCAATGAGACTGTCTAAAAAACAGAAACAAAAGCAAAACAAAAAATAAACAACAACAAAAAACAAGTCAACAATAAACCGGGATGCAGGGGGTCAGTACATTTTTGGAACTATGTTTGCTACCAAATCAAATATTCTCCTTGACAACTGTCTTCCTTCACTGAAGTCCCTGAAATACTTGTTGATCCCTGTATTAATGTGATAACTTCAGAAGAACATATCATCTATGTAGTTTTCCGGTTCATATGCCTAACTTCATTCAATTGTCAACCTGGTCTACACAAGATGTAGGCCGGCTAAGGCTATATAGCAAGACCCTGTCTCAAAACAACAAAACACCAGAAATCAAAAGGAAGCAAGTGACATGACAACTAATGATTACTCCTCTTGACTATTTTGTAGCACAGGGTAGATAACAATACTGAAAAACAGCATTGACAAAACTGGACATTAGAGGTAGATTAAAGTATTATGCTAAGGTAAAATTATGAAGTTGGTATAAAACCATATTAAGAAACATTCCTGAAATAACTATGTGTGTCCACACACACACACATATATATATAATATATATATATAAAATATATATTATATATATATATATATATATATATATATATTTAGGGTTTGGAAAGATGGCTCAGTCAGTAAAGTACTTACAAGGACCTGAGTTTGATTCCCAGATCCTTGTTTTTTTAAAACAAAAACAACAAAAAGCCAACCCAGCTAGATGTGGTGGTATATGCTTATAATTCTAGTGCTGGGACCCGGGTTTGGTTCCTAGGACTCAACTGTTGGGCTCACAGCCATCTGTAACTCCAGATCTGGGGGGATCTGAACACCCTCTTCTGGCCTCCACAGAACACATGCACACGGTGCACATATACACATGCAGACAAATACAGCATAAAATAAAAACAATCTTATTCCTACTTTCTTGTTGAGACTTCCTGGCCACCCCAGAACTCACTGTAGAGACAAAGCTGGCCTCAAGCTCACAGATTCACCTACCTCTGCCCCCCCACCCAAGTACTGGCATAAAGGTGTGGGTAACCACACCTGTCTATAAATAAAAGTTAAAAAAATAGGAGCTGGAGAGATGGCTCAGGGGTTAAGAGCACTGACTGCTCTTCCAGAGGTCCTGAGTTCAATTCCCAGCAACCACATGGTGGCTTACAACCATCTGTAATGTGATCTGGTGCTCTCTTCTGGCACGCCCTCCATACATGATAAATAAATAAATAAATCTTTAAAAAAATAAATAAAAATGCCATTGGCTACATAGTGAACTTGAGGCCAATATGGATTTCATGAGACCCTGTCTTAAATTTTAAAAGTTAATTTGATTTTTAAATTATTTTAAAAAATTAATACCATTTTATTTATTTATTTACTTTTGGTTTTCAAGGCTTGGCTGTCCTAGAACTCACTCTGTAGACTAGGTTGACCTGGAACTCACAGCTGGGAATCAAACCTGAGTCTTCTGGAAGAACAAATGTTCTGAACTGCTGAGCCAACCCTCTAGTCCTTTTTTATTATTACCATTATTAATATTTTGTTGTTTGAGACTGGGTCTCTCTGTATAGTCCTGGAGCTTGCTGTGTAGACCAAGATAGCCTTGAACTCACAGGGCTCTTCCTGCCTGCCTCCTTGTGCTAGAATTAAAAGTACATACCACCATACCTTGTTTCTCTGTTTTTTTTGTTTTGTTTTGTTTTGTTTTGTTTCGTTTGAGACAGGGTTCCTGTAAAATCCTGGCTGTCCTGGAACTCACTCTATAGACCAGGCTGGCCTCAAACTCACAGCCTGCCTCTGCCTCCTGAGTGCTAGGATTAATGGTGTGCACCACCAGGACTGAAGTCTATAGTAAGTACTACATCTGACAGGCGCTGCTGAGGTGTTAGGACTGCCAGACTCTCCAGCCTAAACACACTCACATGCACCTGCACACAAGTGTACCCGGACAGACAGTGCAAACATAAACACAAGAAAAAATAAATAGGGCTCTCAAGATGGCTTTGTAAATACATGTGCTTAGCACCAAGCCTTGAAAACAGAGTTTGACTTCCAGAACATACATGGTGGAAAGGGAGAACCACCAGGTGCCCCCTCCTTACAATAGGTAAATGTAATTATAAAAAGAAAAATGGTGCTGGAAAATTAAATTGAGGAAAAATTTGAGATTAATCAAACGGCTGGGTAGTGTTGCACGCTTTTAATCCCAGTACTTGAGGTCAGCCTGGTCTACAGAGTGAGTTCCAGGACAGCCAGGGCTACACGGAGAAACCCTGTCTCAAACAAACAAACAAACAAAAAACCAACAACAACAAAAAAGATTAACAAAACCAACAACTAGAATTCTGACAGTTCCCAGACTTTCTTTGACCTTCAAATCCCAAAGTTTCAACTGCACACTAAGAAAACTTCCTGTTCAAAACAATATATTTTCTCTGGTCTAAGGATCTGGTTTCGGAATATAACACTTATAAAAGCTATGGATGTAGCTCAGTGATAGAACACTTGCATATGGACCTAGTTTGATACTTAGCATAGCTCCCTAAAAAAATTACTCTAAAGCTCGGCATGAATGGCACATGCCTATAATACCACCACTCAAGAGGAAGAATACAAGTCCCAAGACAGTCAGGACTACAAAGAAAGATCTAATTCCATAAAGGGCCACAATAATACAACTTACCCAAGGAGGAACCCACAGGACATTTATCTTTAGATTACAATCCTAGCACACAAATGGGCCTTCTGCTTTTATTCCTACCTACAAAATATACAGCATTATTGCTTCAAAGGCAATGCAAAAGTATTTCTAATATACAACAAACTTATGAAAAATGGCAAAACAAAAACATTAGCATTTGACGCCTCAGTGTAAATTTTATTTTTCCATCTTTAAGTCAGAAAACTAATATCAATGTTAAATAAATGACACAGCAACAGTGGGATGTCTTCCAACAAAGCGAACCATTTATTTTTTAAAAAAGGAAGGGGGGCGGTGGGCAGTGGTGGTGCGTGCCTTTAATCCCAGCCCTTGGGAGGCAGAGGCAGGTGGATCTCTGTGAGTTTGAGGCCAGCCTGGTGTACAGAGGGAGTGCCAGGACAGCCTCCAAAGCCACAGAGAAACCCTGTCTCACAAAACAAAAACAAAAACAAAAAAAAAAAAAGGAAGGGGGGCTGGAGAGATGGCTCAGTGGTTAAGAGTACAGCTGCTCCTCCAGAGACCCTAAGTTCAATTCCCAGCACCCACATGGTGGTTCACAACCATTTGTAATGAGATCTGGTGCCCTCTTCTGGCCTGCAGGCATACATGTAGGCAGAACACCGTATACACAACAAACAAATAAATAAATACATAAATCTTTAAAAGAATAAAAATAAAAAAGGAAGAAACCAAGTTGTTAACATACTACTACCCCAAAAACTAATGGGCAAAAAAGTCATTACCTGTGCATTTTATCTTTTCATCAGACAACAGTCTTAGTGTGAAACTTAATCCCACTGGCCACCATTCTCTGGAAGCCGAGGAGAGAAAACTGTGAGACCTACAGTGATCTAAAGTAGAACTCAGCATTTACATCTGTAATAATCACTGCTACCATTTGAATGTCTCTTAAAGTAGGCGTAGCATGCATGAGATGCATACTCTCAGGTTCAGGTTAAATAACCTGTCTACCCCATTACAGGAGTACTAAATAGAAAAAAAGAATAGGTTTGAACCCAAGTCTATTTAGGATTTTTATTAAAATCAATACCAGGTCCTTAAATTCTACAAATGGACCTTTTTAAAAAAACAAAACAACAACATGCTGGGTGTTGGTGGCACACCCCTTTAATAAATAGAGGTAGGCGGATCGGATCGCTCTGTGAGTTCAAGGCCAGCCTGGTCTACCAAGAGAGTTCCAGGACAGGCTCCAAAACAATACAGAGAAAACCTGTTCCAGAAAAACAAAAAAACAAACAATAAATAAACAAAAAGACAGGATCTTGCTAGGTAGCCCTGGCAGGTTGGTCTGGAGCTCTCTATGTAAACCAGGCTGGCTTGGAACTCAAATTCACCTGCCTCTGCCTCCTGAGTACTAGGTGCAAACTGATTTTTTAACAGCTACCAAAACCACTGCCATGTTGGATGTAGTAGTGCATGCCTTTAATCTGAGCACTATGAAAGCAGAGGCAAGCAGATCTCTGGGAGTACAAGGTCAGCCTGGTCTATATAGTGAGTTCTAGGCCAACCAGGGATAAACCCAAACTAAAGCTACTGTCTTGAGTTACAGTAGATGTAAGGTGAGGTATAGATGGTGTGGCTATCTGAGATGCCTTTAAAACAAAGCTTTCATTTTAGAGATGTATGAAGGTGATCACCTTAGCACATGTCTTCTAGAAACTGTCATATATGATGGCTGTACAAAACAAAAACCAGGTACACAACTACATGTTAACTACAGGCGAACACAAGTAGCTGCCAGTGGATATTTAAGTCCTTAGGAATAATATCTGAAAATTCTTCAGTACACCATAAGTGTGAAATGCAACATTTTGGGAGGAAAACTGGTCAGAAAGACAGATGAATAGAAACAAACAATGAAAATAATCTCCAACTACTGGGCAGTGGTGGTGTACACCTTCAATATTCCAACACTTGAAAGGCAGAGATAGGTGGCTCTCTGTGAGTTTAAGACCAGCCTGGTCTACATGGCGAGTTCCAGGACAGGCTCCAAAGCTACAGAGAAATGACGACGACAAAGACGAAGAAAGAAGAAGAAAGGAGGAGGAGGAAATAATCTAATCTCCAACTAAATTACACAGGGAAAAAAATGTTTAAAAATTTACTGTTTTGATTACCAGGCTTTGTTTTTTAAAGGTTGAGGGTTGGGAAGAGTGCTTGTCTAGTATGTGCAGGCCACAGACAGGTTCAACCTTCAGTACCAGAGACAAAAATCAAAGAAAATGAGACAAAAAAGTCTGGAGATTGAGGCTACAGTTCAACTATGAGCACTTACCT